TCCCTAATTACTCTGCCTCTGCAGTAGCTGTCAGGCATCAATTACTACACCTTCTCTGCCTGTCATGGTAGGATTTGGAATAGAAGCTTTTGGAAATAGGGACCAGGATTGGGTGTCATTAAAGCCAGGCAGCTCTTATCTAAACCACACACACATTCTCCTTCCAAAAATTCTTATCCTAATGTTGCTGTGATGCGTATAACGATAGGGAATCCTAAGAAAGGACCATTTCCATAGAAAACTGAAACAACTCTTCCCTTAGTGCTTGCAGAATGCTTTAGCCCTCAGTGAGAAATAGGGCTCAGATTTACTGTTATAGGCATACTAGGAAATCCATCAAATGCAGGCATAGCTCATACTGGTTTGGTGAGCAGAATAAGCCCTTCTAGCCATTCTTATACCAGCATAACAGCATGTTGCTGAGACTTGCTAATACAGAAGAGATACCAAAGACTTTACGTCTATAACAATACTAGTATTGGCCAAAATATAGAACTGCCTTAAAGCTGAGAGTAGCATAACCAAACTCAATTCTATGTGGGACTTTGTCCTACTCTGGTGGCTGCAGCCTCTACAGAGAAGCTTACAAATGTGCTACTGCCACAAAGCTGAAGGATCTTGAGCCTTAGATCAGTTGCTAATGACACCCTTTGGGACCAGTGTTTTGATCCAGGACTCCTGACTTCAGACCCCAGAGCAGAACTGCCTGAGTATTTAAAGAATGTTAAAATGAGGCTTAGGGGCAACCAAGGTTTTCTAACTTTTGCCAGTGTTACTTGTTCTGCTGATGATCTTGCCAGCAGCCAGACAAGATAGGCAGTGGTAGTAAAAAAAGCAGTAATGTTAGCATTTCCTGCTTCGATTGTGAACTGCACCAGGATAATTCAGTGTAATTTACTCCAGGCCACACCTGCAAAAATGCATTTACCAAGACTGTAGACTCCAGCCAGCTGGGTAGATGGCTGATTGATCGGTGTCTCCCAGTAAACAATCCTATTTTTCCTTTTGCAGCAATCACAAAGGGTTCTCAGTGACTTTTTTAAATGGACATACTTAAAAGTTACACAGCAGTGTAAATATACAAGCTAGCCTAGTCACTACATCTATTTGTAAAGGAAAACATATCCAAACATCAAGGCTGCAGTCTTTTTAAACATACTTAGAAAAATTGTCATGAGCAACCAAACAGGAAGAGCAGGCTGATGTGAAAATGCCTGAGCTAAAAGTCAGAGAAAAAATACAGTGGGTCCAGTCTTTTGATGGGAGTGTTTCTTAGCGTCTGGGCATGCTGGCTAGATAGAGTTTTAAAGAGATTAAGATGCAAACTTTATGTGTATTTTAAAATTAGAAACCCCTGGGTACATGAGCTGCTGCATCACTGTAGCAACAAGCTATGGCAACTTTGCTTTTTTCTACAGCGACGTAGTGTTAGCAGGCATGAACCGTTACACTATTGTGCAATAACCTAGCAGACCTCCTGAGGCTAAAAAGAAAGGCCTACAAAGGATGGAGGATGGGAGTCACCTCCAAGGAGGATTATTCTGCACTGGTCCGGTCCTGTAGGGAGCAGACCAGGAAAGCCAAGGCTGCAACTGAACTCCAGCTAGCTTTGAGCATCAAGGACAATAAAAAGTCCTTTTTCAGATATGTGGGGAGCCGGAGGAAAAGCAGGGGGAACATTGGACCCCTGCGGAACCAGATGGGGCAACTGACAACTGACGCCCAGGAAAAAGCCAACCTATT